AGCATAGAATTACGGATGACCTATTTATAATATACCCATAGTGGTGAAGGGTATCATATAGTCGGCCCCGTCCGACTTTACTACTTTCCTTACTGGTTTGTAAATGGTGCACCAAAGTCCCTATATACATATCTTTGGAATTGCGCGAAGTTTTGGATAGTGTACTGAATTGATTGATAGTATTAAAATTATTACGTGATATCCAACTTCATTAACTAAATTGCATAAATCCACTAATTACATGAATATTTCCTCTTAATTATGTATCGATTTTCGCCAAAGAATTGTAATTGCAAGTCGAGCCGATTAACGTCTCAAACATTCAACTTATTATTGAAAAAATATCCAATACTAAACTGACCTTGATTCAGTATGCAACACAAACTGCTGCCGAGCAACGTCATAATCATAGCCAACCTTACGTTTAGCTTCCATTCTACACCACTCTAAAAAAAGTGAACTACACACAATTCATTTCATTACATGGCTACATAGGATATGGCAGAGAGTCATTTAGATCCAATTTCAAATTGCAGTCTACTTAGTTTGCCATTAAAATTCTAATATTTCAAAGTTGGCTTAATTTAATGAAAATTTCAATGCAGATAGATAGAAAAACTTCAGCGGAGTTTTTATTGGAATAGAATGCTGATACAAGGTAGTCTAATGGTGAGAGTAATTTTTTAACCATCGACAATGTCATTGTGAAATATCTGGTAGCTGGTTGTTGATGTTCCGTTCTAATTAAGTATTAACTTATAGACCCTCAGGTTGGAAAATTATACTAAGAATCTAGGAATTTATGAGCCATGCAAAAACATGCAGTATTTTCATTAAACGTGAAATCCTAAATGCCAAATTAAAGCCACTTTGAAAAGTAAATGTTGCCAAATCCATAAACAAGTGAAAAAGCGTTAAGTTCGGCCGGGCCGAACTTTGGATACCCTCCACCATAGTTATACTGACAGATACATGCAATGAAAATATAGGGAACATATCAAAAAGTGGGCATATACCGATAATTCTACAAACCGATTTATGTACACCAAATACAAACTTCAGCAATTTTTAATGGGGATTTTTCCTAAAATCTGTAAGAGTATAAAATGCTCAAACTACTGTAATATGGATTACAAAGGGTATGCTTAAAAGGGGGCCCAATATTGATTACATAATGTAGGAAATAGTGAATATTTGTGGATATACCAATATTGAACCCAATATTTTAATTGTTTATCTCAATTCTTTCATTCAGGAGGTATCACGATATTGAGAAGATGCCTAAATGTCTACCGATATATTTCATTATCGTCAAAGATGGCTAAACAGTCTATGTAGGCTAACAATTGACTATTCCCCGTAACGACTACCCAACCGCAACACACGGAACAAATCAAATAACTATTTTAATATACGGGTGAATATTAATAATTTTTGGTAGGGAGATTTGTTAGCATATACGACTACAAAATACCAAATTAAGGCGAATTCGGTTGAAAACGCGCTCAAGAACCTCAAAATATCGAAAATTGCGGGTACCCTTATATAGGGACTACCCGAAAAAATTGACCTATATTTATAATTTTTTTTTGTGGAGAGATTTGCTACCCAATAAGAACTCAAATTACTAAATTTCAGCCAATTCGGTGAAAAAATCCGGTCAAAACCCCTCAAAAACTGGAAATTGAAAGGTACCCTTTATTTTTTATAATTTATAATTTTTAGTGGGGACATTTAGTACCCAATGAAAACCCAATGTACCAAATTTCAGCGAATTCGGTTGAAAAACGCGCTCAAGAACCCTAAAATACCTAAAGTTGGGGGGTACCCTTATATGGGGGCTACCCGAAAAAATTGACCTACATTTATAATTTTTAGTACAGAGATTTGCTACCCAATAAGAACTCAAAGTACCGAATTTCAGCGAATTCGGTCGAAAAATGCGATCAAACCACCCAAAATACCGCAAAATTGGGGGTACCCTTATATGGGGGCTATCCCAAAATATGGACCTATATTTATAATTTTTGTGGAGGCATTTAGTACTCAATACGAACCCAATGTAGCAAATTTCAGCGAATTCGGTTGAAAAACGAGCTCAAGAACCCCAAAATACTGAAAATTTGGGGGTACACTTATATGGGAGCTATGCCAAATCGTGGACCGATATATCCCATCTTCGAACTTTACCTGCCTGCAGACAAAAGACGACGTTTTTGAGATATTTTTTAGGGCCTATAGGGCCTTAAAAATTTGCTCAAAAACACCACTGTGCCAGACCTTAAAAAATTGTTAAAATTTAGTCCTTTAGTATGGATGGTGCTTGAAAACTTTTTTTATCAGTAAGGAAAGTAGTAAAGTCGGACGGGGCCGACTATATGATACCCTTCACCACTTTGGCTATATTCAACAAATGAATCCTAACAGACGTAGCATTTTTAAAGCACCAGTAAAATGAAATTGGATCCATAAACATGTCATTCTGCAACCGATACTAAATGCTTCATTTGGTCAGATATAGAAGCTATATCTAAATCTGAACCGATTTTTACGAAACCTAACAAACATCGTTCTAGACCTAGTTCAGTACACTATACCAAATTTCGTGTAAATATATGTCTTTCGATTTACATTAAATCGGACAAAATTTATATGGGAGCTATATTTAAATCCAGACCGTTTTTCAGGAAACTTAACATAGATTATTCCAGACCTAATTCATTACGCTATGCCAAATTTCGTGCAAATCGAAAGATATATAGGGACTTTGGTACACCATTTACATTAAATCGGACGAAAAAATATATGGGAACTATATCTAAATCTGGACCTATTTTCAGGAAACTTGACATACATCATTCTAGACCTAATTCATTACGCTATGCCAAATTTCGTGCAAATCGGAAGATATATAGGAACTTTGGTACACCATTTACATTAAATCGGCCAAAAATATATGTGGGAGCTATATCTACGTCTGGACCGATTTTCAGGAAACTTAACACACATGAATCTAGACCTTATTTATTACGATGTGTCAAATTTCGTGCAAATCGAATGTGGTACACCATTTACCTTAAATCGGACGAAAATATATATGGGAGCTATATCTAAATCTGGACCGATTTTCAAGAAACTTGGCAGACATCATTCTAGGCTCAATTTAGTACGTTGTGCCAAATTTCGTGCCAATCGAAAGATATATAGGGACTGCGGTACACCATTTACCTAAAATCGGACGAAAACATATATGGGAGCTATATCTAAATCTGAACCGATTTTTCCCAATTCCAATAAGGTTCGTCCTTGGGCCAAATAAGTGGCCTATGCCAAATTTCATCCAATTCGGATTATAAATGCGACCTATACTTTGTTTACAATTTAACATGGACAGAAAGACAGAAACACGGACAGATGGACGGACATGCATAAATCGACTCAGAAAGTGATTCTATGCATATTCTCAAAAGGAGCCATGTGTCTATCTCCTGTTTCCTTTTGCCTGTTACAAACATATGCACAAAGACATAATACCCTGTACCACAGTGTGGTGAAGGGTATAAAAACTTCAGCGGAGTTTTTATTGGAATAGAATGCTGATAGAAGATCGTCTAATGGTGAGAATAATTTTTTTAACCATCGATAATGTCATTGTGAAATGACTGGTGCCTTATTATTGGTGCTTGATGATCCGATTTAATTAAGTATCCAGTTATGGACCCCTAGGTTGGAAAATTATACTAGGAACCTAGGAATTTATGGAGCCATGCAAAAACATGCAGTAGTTTTATTAAATGTGAAATCCGGAATGCCAAAATAATGAATAGGAAATGTTACCAAAATTCAGTCCTTGAAAAAATATTCTTAAAAAATCCATGCCTTGTATGGATGGTCCTTGAAAAAATATTCTTAAAAAATCCATCCCCTGTATGGATGGTCCTTGAAAAAATATTCTTTAAAAAATCCCCTTCTTATAATGACCCTTAAAAAATATTCTTTAAAAGTCCACGCGTTATAAAGCCTAATAAAAATATTCTTTAAAAAATGCACGCCTTATAATGGTCGTTAAAAATATTCTTTAAGAAATCCAATCCAGAAAGGACGTTAAAAATATTATTTAAAAAATCAACGCCTTATAATGACCCTTAACAAATATTCTTTAAAAAATCCACGACTTGTGTTGATTTTTGAAAAAAATTTCGTTGCCCAATCCACCCCTTATAATTGTCTCAGAAAAAATATAATCTAAAAAAACAATGATTCAAAATTTTTTCCCAAAAAAATGTTTAATGTTTTAGACCCTCAATTTATTATGGATATGTCATTTTTTGTTAATCCTTACTCACCAGGTTTTGGTTTCTCTCTTTTCAGATTAACCAAAGATGATTATTTGGATTTAGCTGAAAACCAACTGCAACTCGAAAAGTTTAAATCGCCTACGGCTTAATTGAATAATGACAAAGCTACAAACATCAAGCGAATCAATTACAAGGATAACACCAAACGTTGTGGTTGCAATAATAAATGTTCGGACAATTGTTGCCACTAAATGGAACATCCGTAGTGTCAACGAAAATACCAAAGTGAAAAAGAAGACAATTGGATTGCAACAGTTTACAACAACAGCAACAAGAACACATCCAAACTAGAGACTACCAACAACACAATCAAAACCATTTCCGACCAAAACCAACAACAAAAACTATTCATTGCTGTTATAAAAGGATTTTAGCTCGGCTAGCCTCAGTACCAAGCAATCTCGAAACCAATCGTAAAAATAAAGTCTATGGAAATCCTATTAAAACGAAGTGAACCACAATTGCCGCCGCCGCCATTGTTGCAGCCAGCTTTTTTAACAACAACAACTACAACAACACAGTGTTCTTTGCTCTCGCACAACAAAGTGAAGTTGACAAACTGTAGTTGTTGCAGTGATAATGAGGAAATTAGTTATTTGCCTTTTAGTATTTGGGCTATATGCAATACAGACAGTGGGACACATGAACAGTGACCCAGCGCCAGGACGTTCACCGGGACCACCTGTGCAAACAGCGGCAGCTGCCATCGTTGTGGCAACCACACCTATTGTGGAAGCGGAACAACAGCAAAAAGATGTGAACAATGTAGAGAATGACGGTAACCATAATAGCAATCACAACAATAACAACAAGTTTACTTACAACAACAACAGTGAGGACATTAAAGACAACAACAATGAAGATGCTTCAATTGGCATCTCCAATGAAACAATACCCTTAGAGGGGCAACAACACAGTTCAAACGTGGATAACATAAACAGCAATGAGGCTAAGGGTCATCACGAAGACATAGCTTCAATTACAACCAGTGCTTCTCAGGAGCAACACGAAGAAGAAGAACAAGAAATACAACAGACAGAAACAATTAATTTTCCATTAACAAAAACTCACAATGACAAGAACACTGAAAATGAACATGCCAGAAAACTGGATGCCAATGCAAACAATGGAGAGGCTCCGTTTAACCCGATTGGGGGTGAATACAGTTTGCCTTCACCTCAGCTGACAACTACATATGTGAGTGCGGAAAAACCACTCACGCAACATGGGAAATCCTTCGATAATGACCAAAATTCACAGATGAAACAAGAGGAACATGAAACCCCAATGTCAATGTCAAATTCGGAACAAATGTCGGTACCCCACAATGAGAAGGAGAATTTTGAAAAATCATCACCGCCGACCAGCACAACTTCTGCAACCATCAATTCCTGTCGTTCACAACTCGATAATTTTCTTAGTGATGCCACAGTGATTGATGCCGATGTAATAGCTGACGACGATACAGCCACATCGAAAAATGTCAACAACAACCACAACGCCAGCAACAACAACACTAAATTCAATGTTCCACTGGCGGCCCCTCACCATCAGGCCATGCAAATTGCTTTGAATTTGCATCATGATATCTTTGATACCTCCAATGATTTTGGTATCAATTGTGGTCTCCTCTATAAAGGTAAGTGAAAAATGTTCGGGAATCAATTTTATTCAATTACAACAACAATAACATCAACGATTTAGTGGAGATTGTGGTGAAAAAAAAAAATTATTTTCATTTTGTGGTCTGACCATATTTTGTGAACCATGAAAAAATGTATCTATATATGTTGCTGCTATCCTAGTAGTAAGCTTTCGATAAGCACATTTACCATAAATGTTAATGTGGCCCCTATTAGCAGATTGTTGGTTTTAGAGTCACATTTATATTTTTGCGGCTTTACATGCCACAGATTAGCTATATGACCATTTTAAATTGGTGCAAAATTTGGTTCGGTCATCTGACACACACACACACACACACACACACTGTGAGAGCCAAAAGTAAATATTCTCCATTGGATTTTATATTCGAAACTTTAATTTATATCAAACTTACAGCCACTTTTGTTGGAAGAATTTCCTACAACATCGCCAAATTGGGTTATATCAAACCATTGGTAATTTTTTAGGGACAATTGGTGGTACCATTGCTATACCTAAAGTTGATGAAATGTTCAAAAGAATATTTTGCCACCAAAATTATAAAATATAAACAGTTCGGTTTATAATCGTACCCAATGTTGAAGAATATCGTGTTAGGGGGCTTGTTTCTAGCTTATCTTTGAACATGATAAGCCTTCAAACAAAAATACCCATCTGTGTACGATTCATATGGGGAATATCCTGAGAAGTTGACCAAATGGGACGTTTCTCTTATGAACTAGGATAAATCCAATCGGTCAAGATCTTCCTTATTTTTTAACATGGTTTGTGGTCAAAAATAGACGATTTTCCAAAAATATGTTTTCAAATTTCGGCCATTTTGTTGATGTTTGAAACGAATCCTAGTTCATGTACCCTTTCTAAAACCGTTGGAATTTTCGGATTCCGATGTTCCAGTGAGGAGTTATCATGCCCGCCATGAAAAATAAGGACGGTGTTAGAAAGAGTACATGTCTGGCTCTCGTATGAACCAGGATTATTGACTTCGCTCTAAAATTATTAACAAAATGTCGGACTTTTGAAAAAATATTTTTGGAAAATCGCCGATTTTTGACCAAAAATCAAGTTAAAAAATAAGGAAGATCTTCACCGATTGGCTTTATCCTAGTTCACACGATAGCTATACACTCACAGAGAAACGTGTAAAAATTTGGAATCTATTGGGTTATTAGTTTTTGAGTTATCGTGCCCGCCATTCGCATAAGAGAAAAACGCGTTTAAAGTTTGAGAAGCCCTTTAGCCGTCACTTGATGCTGACATAAGAAATCGGCTAATCTTCAAGAGTTCTTGAGATTTTCACTTGAAATTTTGTAGAGCCATTCTTGAAATAGTGTAGAATTGAAGTAAACCAAAAAAAAATTTTGACCTCGATAATGGGGGGTCCCCTTAACAAGCTTTGGTATTGATTTACCAGAACATTGAAAATCTTAAAATTTTACAATCGTGGGGGTAGAGCTACATCAGTACGCTTTACCAAATTTCGTGAAAGACGAAAGTTATATAGGGACTTTGGTACACCATTTACATTATATATATGGGAGCTATATCTGAACCGATTTTCACGAAACTTAGCACATATAATTCTAGACATATTTCAGTACACTATACCAAATTTCGTGCAAGGCGAAAGATATATAGGGACATTGGTACACCATTTACATTTACATTAAATCGGGCGAATATATATATGGGAGCTATATCAAAATCTGAACCGATTTTTCAATAGGGTTCATCCTTGGGCCAAATAGATGAACTTGGCATGCATTATTATGGACTCAACTAAGTAAATCCGTGTAAATCTAAATCTGAACCGATTTCAACGAAACTTAACACACATAAGATATATACGGACATTGGAACGCTATTTACACTAATTCGGGCGAATATATGTATATATGGGAGCTATATCTATTTCTGAACCGATTATCACGAAACTTAACACACATAATTCTAGACATATTTCAGTACACTATACCAAATTTCGTGCAAGGCGAAAGATATATAGGAACATTGGTACACCATTTTCATTAAATCGGGCACACATTATGGACTCAATTAAGCACGCTATGCCAAATTCCGTGTAAATCGAGTGATATATAAGGAGTTTTTGCGCCATTTACATTAAATCAGACGAAAATATATATGGGAGCTTTTTCTAAATCTGAACCGATTTCAACGTAACTTAACACACATAATTCCAGACTTAATTCAGTACGCTATGCCAAATTTCGTGCAAATCGAAAGATATATAGGGACTTTTGTCCCTTCAATATGGTTCGTCCTTGGACCAAATAAGTGGCCTGTGCCAAATTTCATCCAATGCGGATAAAAAATGAGACCAGTGCTTTGTTTACAAGAATACATGGAAAGACGGACTCAGAAAGTGATTCTATGCATATTCTCAAAAGGAACCATGATTCTATGTCGTTTCCTTTTGCCAGTTACAAACTTTGTAGGGACTTTTTGCATTAGAAAATGTTTCATACTCCGGTCGGAAACATTTTCCGTCCACACACCGATAATTAAACGGGACATTTGTATGAAAATGCTATTTTAAAACATTAGCTTTATTGAATATTTTTATTGTAATAAAGTTCTTTATTCGCCACGAATCTGATATGTCAAATTTTATCCACTTCGTAGAGAAAATACTACTACTCAAATTTCGGGAGTTATACCAAAACGTAAACCGACATTTATATTGTAGGAGGATTTGGCTCCCAATACGAAACAGAAAAATCCAACCAGGACCAATTCGGATAAAGATCGTGCCCACAGTACCCAAAATATCGAAAAATTTAGATTTTCTGCATAGCATACACTACATTTAGAACCGATCCGGTTGAAAAACGTACCCAAAAGTCTTGAGAACGACATGTCGTTTAGGTCGGAATTATTATACTCTTAGTACAAACAAATATAAAATAAATCAAGTAAAAACGCTGTTAAATTCAGCCAGTTCGAACTTTTAATTATCTTCCATCGATATTGATCATTTTTGGTGGAAAGTTTGACACACGGTGACAATGGTAAATATATAATTTACACTTTGAAATCTCATTATTCGATGTATTAAATGCATACACTTTGGTTGAAAATACCTCTTGGGACAAGAAAATACATAAAATTAGACTGAGTCTTTATATTTGGGAAATGTCATAACGTTGATTTAACATAACATATTTTTGTCACCCTCCATAAACCTGGAAAGCAGAATTATTTTCGACGGTAGCTTTAAATAGATGCTATGCCACTATTGTACTACAAAAAGAGTGGTATACATCCTATATCTCAATTTAACATAGGTAAGAGACTTACAATGTTCAAAGTTTGGCCAATGTGGATACTCCATTTGCTTCATGAAAAATTTAAAAATGGGTTCCTTCTTCAGACTTTGTTAAAGCTCGATACGAAACAAGTGAAAAACCGTTAAGTTCGACCGGGCCGAACTTTGGATACCCTCCACCATAGATATACTGACAGGTACTAGAAATGAAAATATAGGGAACATATCAAAAAGTGGACCTACACCGTCATTTCTAAAAACGGATTATGTAGACCATAGTGTAAACCATAATACAAATTTCAGAAATTTTTAGTGGATAATTATACCTCAGCCTTATGGCTAATGGGGGTGTATACACTTTAACATGGTGAAAATGTGCCTCATCGAAATATTGGTTCTAGACCCCATGTTCCTTTGGACCAAATCCGTTTCAGAAAATTTAGATTTCATCCAAACTTTACCCATCTTATTATTTCTTCCAAACTTAGTTCCAATTCGAAGATGGGGAATATCGGTCCACTCCTTCTAGAACCTCCACACAGGGGCTAGGTTCTAATTTTTTATCTCGCTATCCTCCGCAGGTGAAATCAGATACCTATTTTAATATAAAAAGGGGGTTACATGGTGACTACCCAAAAAGGTGGCAAATATTAATAATTTTTGAAAGGGAGATTTGTTCCATATACGACTACAAAATACCAAATTGCAGCAAATTCGGTTGAAAAACGCACTCATGAACCCAAAATACCGAAAATTGGGGGTAGCCTTATATGGGGGCTATCCGAAAAAAATAGACCTATATTCATAATTTTTTGTTGAGAGATTTGGTACCTATTAAGAACTCAAAATACTAAATAACAGCCAATTCGGTTGAAAAACGAGCTCAAGAACCCCAAAATACCGTAAATTTGGTGGTACCCTTATATGGGGGCTACCCGAAAAAAATGAACCTATATTTATAATTTTTAGTGGAGATATTTGGTACCCAATAACAACCCAATGTACAAAATTTCAGCGAATTCGGTTGAAAAACGCGCGAGAGTACCTTTATATGGGAGCTATGCCTAAACGTTGACCGATGTAGCCCATCATCTAACTTGACCTGCCTGCAGACAAAAGACGATTCTATACAAAGATTGCAACAGAAGGACAGACGGAAAGAAGGACTTGCTTAGATTGTCTTAGAATTTTACGCTTATCAAGAATATATATACTTTATAGGGTCGGAAATGATTATTTCGATGAGTTACAAACGGAAAAACAAAATTAATATATCCTCCATACTATGGTGGAGGGTATAACAACTTTGAAAATGTTAATACCAGAAGAAATGGACCGGTAGATCTTTGGAAATGATATTGATTTGATAAACATATAAAATGGTACAAAGATTGAGCCAAGTGGATTTATAAATTTTAAATTATAATTTTATTTTTTAACTAAATAATAACCACCAGGAGGATATACAAAGTGCATCAACTTGAAATAAAGACGGACATTCCTAAATCAACTCAAATTTATCGATGAGACACATGTTATATACTCTCTTATTATGTAAATTATAATTAAAACCAAAAATAAATAACTTAACCTGGCGGATTAACGACACATTCCCCATAATATGATAAACAACTAAATACATATACATAATACATACGTACCTATACTCTACACTGAACATCATCTTA